AAGCAGCAATTACATGCAAGGTTTGAAAGTAAACGGACAAACGGTTGTGGAGCAGCAGGGCAAAATATATCGTCAAAAAATACTTGTTTTTCAGTTATCTGCCCTTGGCCTTTGGGCCTGGGGCCTTGGGTTTTTGGCGGGCACTAGTACCCAACGGTCCACATACACATACAAAATTTGAACACAATCAGGACAGTGGTTATTTTGCTAGGCCGGGTACAAAAATCGGCGGAATAATAAATAATAATAATAATAAATAATAATAATAAATCGAACGATTACAATAGGGCTCTACAGCCTTTCGGCTTGGAGCCCTAATTAAAGAGCATGTACATAAAACCACCTTCTAACAAAAACACCTTTTTAGCTGGGGACCTTTTTACCACAACTGCTAATTTTCAATCAAGGGTATGGTGCACTATATTCCTAACACCCATCTATAAACAAGCATTAGCACTGCTATACAAAGGTAGGGCTGTTTTGAAACGGTTTAACTTGAGCCAACAGCGAGACAGGTGTCAACACAGTTGAAATTGACATGCTATTGACATGCTGTTGACACAGTGTATCTAAGTGGAAGGTAGACTGCACTGTGATTGACAGGTGGGTGTGGCTGAGGCACACTTTGTTGGTACTGATGGGATCTGGGTACATAGAAACAGACACCACTCATACTTTCATGTTGTGATCTTGTCACTTCTGCTTATCTAAAAATATCACAGGATAGACGTGTAGATAGTTACGGGAAATTGTCATTTTTAAAAAAAAAATGCTCATATGAATGTAAATATATTAGGCCATACAAATTTATAAATACATATGTGGTATAATATACAAATTTCTTTCATTATTTCATATTTGTAAATGTAGGTATCAATCATTTGAAAATATATTGATTGAAATATTCATAGCTATGAGAAATTGTGACATTTTGAAAAAGATTTTATGTGAATGTAAATATATTGGGCAAACAAATTTATTAATACAAATATGAGATATGATATAATATACAATTTTCCCCCTTATTTCATAATTGTTAATGTATATTAATCAGAAATAAATTGATTGAAATGAAATGTAGATAGTTATGAGAAATTGTGGCATTTTGTGTTCTGTGAGTATAGTGAGAAAACAACTAAAAAAATGAATAAGAATAATATTTGCTTCCAAAATACTTTTTATTCCAATATGAATGTAACTATATTAGGCCATACAAATATGAGATAAGATCAGATAACACTTGATTATTCTGAAGGAAATATGGGTTACTTCAGCGCAAGGTCTCAGCTTATTTATGAACACACAAATATACACCACAAATGTAATTACCGCATTCGACATAATAAGCGCCCAGGGCGCTCTCAAAATTAGAATGAGGGGGCTCTTATTCAAATATTATTTTGGTGAAAAACAGCAGAGTTGAAAGATCGCAAATTTCGTGGTTTATGCTGACAGCCTGAAATGTTTATATACGACAGATATATTTTTTCCAGAATTTAATTGCCCATAATTAAGGGTGCATATAACAAACGTATTATGCATTAATAAATAAGTCTTGTGTACATTGATCAATCGGAAGGGGTGCCAATTAGGATTGTTCACTAGCCAGTATATTAGCAAATGTCGCCTTGGGCGCTTATTAGAGCGGGGCGCTTATTACGTCGAATACAGTAACATTAAATGTGTCACTAGCTCAACAGGTACGCGTCACAAGACTTATTATAAAACTGGGTACAAATTGTATATTTTCTTGTTTCATAATTGTAAATATGAATGGTTATGAGAAATGGTGATGTTTTGTGTTCTGTGTGAAAACAACTTAAACATACAAAAACAAAATTAAAAAATTATTAAAAATAAAATATTTCTTTAAAAAATGCTTAAAATTGTAAATATCACATGTATGGCCTTGTTTCCTAATTGTGAATGTAAACAGTTACATGAAATAGTGAAATTTTGTCTACTGCTGACAACATGGACAACTATATTTTTATTTTTTTTATGAATTTAAATTTTTGATGAAGGTAAAACGATCATTTAATGTAAATGTTACATTAGGCTATAACAATTTAGTTCCTTGTTTTATGGAGGAAATTATTATTGTGAATGTTTTCTATTGAGTGAACAACAACAGTTACCATGGTTACAAATGTTGACAGTTTGCATACTGTGAGAAACCAAACTGTCCACACCTGTTGTTGCCTAGTGATATATTTGAAGCTTCTTTGTCATGTGTGTAGGTATGTATTTGAGGGACATAATGTCATAGGGATTATTTTGGTCACAAGAATCATTTAATGCTGGATCAATTTATCATTGTCCAAACAACACATTGGAAATCAGGGTTAGAATGGGTCCCCACAACCTATGCTGGTTGTATGAGGTGAGAATGGATGGGATGGGGTGGTCAGACTCGTGCCAAAATGGCACAGATCAAGACCATACTGCCAGTCACTGGATTGTCAGGTCCACACTCGATTATTAACAGGTTGCTGTCATATAGCACACTACAATACTGGCACATGTGTCCATATCTTGACAGCTAGAGGGAGGTTTAATGATTGTCTTTAGATGTGAATCTGTTAGATTCATCTAGAAGTGTAACTTTGCAACAATTGTCAATGTGTTTATATCCTGCCATGATGAAGACCACTCTTAAAAGACTCTGAGGGGGCACGGGTGGCCCAGTCGTCTATGGCGCCGCGATTCGCTGTGCAGAGTTGCGTCCCTTCGGCATGCCAGAAACCTGTGATTGTTGGTTCGCCCCGATTGTTTCTAGGTTTGTCAGCACCATACCCGTGCTCGTGGGTTTAACCAAAGTGGTAATCGTCTGAGACCAGCATCACTTCGGGCTTTCCTCCCACATTAAGCTGACACGCCGTGATATAACTGGAATACTGTTAAAAGCGGTGTTAAACCCAACTCACTCACTCTATTGCTCTGAAATAATATCTGTGTACTAGGCATGTGAGGAAGAGAATGTATGGATGTCAACTTCTTTATTAGGAGGAGCACAGTGTTTCGGATATATACTTACTCCTTCATCAGTGAATGAATGCTAGGAGGCAGAGAACATATACCGTATTCGACGTAATAAGCGCCCCGCTCTAAAAGGCACACGGCGATATTTGCTTATATTTTGGCTAGTGAACAATCCCAGTTAGCACCCTTTCCGATTGATCAATGTACACAAGACTTATTTATTCGTGTGTAATACACACTCGTTTGTTATATGCACCCTTAATTATGGGCAATTAAATTCTCGAAAATATATCTATCATGTATAATACACACAGATTCTTCTTTTATATCATTTCAGGCTGACCACAAAATTTACAATCTTTCAACCTCGTTTTTAATCTCACCAAAATTATATTCTAATAAGAGACCCCTATTTCTAATTTTGAGAGCGCCCTCGAATATGGTATATATATACCTGTGGCTTCATCAGTTTAAATCTAAAGATTGATTGGCTAGGATGGCCCTTGTCAAACAAATGATTAACTCACGTTCCAATGATGAAACACTGTATAAAAAATAAACAAATCATGTGTTCCATTACTGGTAAATACTACTCAAAAGAAGTTAAGAACACCCAGTGAAAGAATCCATTAACTGATAATTGGTAATAGTTTTTTTGAAGATTTTTATGAGAATAGATTTGCACAGTTTGGACAAAGGACATTACTTGTTTATAAACCAATTTCAGTATCTTGTTATGAACAAAGCAGCCAAGATGTACTCCATATGTGAGGTTTTCATGATAGTGTGGAATGTTTGCAGAAAAACTCTCACTTAATCTTATGAGGATGGAGATCAAAGACCTACTAAAATTATTTACGACACTGTCAGTAACCAGCTTTTCCCGAAGGTGTGGTCCTCTGCCAGTTGGCTGACCAGGGACAATAGAGAGTGGTGGTTTTATGGAGGTCTCCATGAGAGTGTGAACCATTAGGCTTTGGTTGGAGGCTATGTTACATAAGCCAATCACAGTTGAAAACATCACCTTTGTTGTGGCTGATTGGTCCCTTTAGTGTCTCATTGTGACTAATGGGTTTATGGCTGCTGGAAGGGCTTTGTGTTATCAACACCCTCATTGGCTAATTGATGTGTAAATAATCCAATCAGATGAAAGAGTACATGTAGGTGCTGGCCTCAGGGAATGAGTAGAAGACAGTGTTTCTTGTGGAGGTTGGTCAATATTGGAATTTGATTGTGGTCGTGTAAGGTAAATATTGAGGTGTCTTATGTGTATTTGAATGAATTTATTCAATCAGGAGTTTGGATTATTTGTGAGATGGTGGGTGTTTGTAATTAGGAAGAACACAGACATGTGTTTTTGTTTTCAGAGGAGAGCTTGATAGGATCTTTAGTTTAGAAGGGACAACTTGATAATAATGTTACGCCGACATCCGATTTTTACATCTTTTATATTTTACAACTGATTGAAGGGGAAGACTTCCGCCTGTGTCCCCCTTCCAAAAGTTATATGTGTATGCATTGCCGCTCAATCCTTTTAACCATATATATATTTTTAGGGGGATACGGGCGGAAGTCTTACGATTCAAGTTCACATACAGTTGTTTTGAAACTAGGGAAGCGCTTTGTAAGATTTGGCAATTGGTGTTCTGTAATCATGGAATATTGTTGAAACTATCAGAGCTCCTGATAACATTTTTAGCAATTGAGTTTTTACTCTGGGGTTTCTTTTTTATTGGGTCTTTACATTTTTTGTTGGGTGACCAATATTTTTTCACTGATCTATTCATCACTCTATTGGGTTTTTCCCAAAATTAGTGAACAGTTTAAGATTAAAAAAAAAATGGAATGATGTTTTAGATGTATGTAACTGTTCTATTTATATAGGCTTAACTTGGAAAGTAAATTAGCTTGTTATTGTGTCGGGAAATTGCCATGAATTGTAGAAGATGTGTAATCTGATGTCTTTTTCCGCATTTCTTATTTTTCTCAAAGTCATATTTTTGTTTTATTTGTTGTAGGTCAGAACTGAGGCATCTCATCCAATCAGATCTAAGGATACTTGCAGCTATGTTGACGCCTACCCTGCCCTAGTGGAGATGGCACACACCATGATATACTTACAGCATAGGTGAGTCCTTTGGAGAGTTGTGTCCCTTGGATACACACCCTGCAAACCCCCCACCCACAACCCATGCTTGTCATAAGAGTCGACTGTGACACACTTAATTGCGAGGAATCGAAACCCAATTGGATCGGTTGCTACAGAATATTGAGTGCTGTGATATACTCAAACAAGGAAAGAAACAATAATGTTTGACATATGACATCTGTACCCAAGCTGATTGTTAGAAGTACAGTAAACTACGGTTATAACGAACACGCTTATAACGAACTAACGGATATAACGAACCAACTTTTTAGTCCCGACTATATGCCGTAGCTGTGCTGTATATATGCTTATAACGAATTACGGTTATAATGAACTAAAATTAGTAGTCCCTTTGAGTTCGTTATTACCGTAGTTTACTGTAATACAATTCAAATAATGAAGCCAACTTCCTATTTTGTGCAACTTTTATCTGTGGAGATGGCACACACCATGATATACTTACAGCATAGGTGAGTCCTGTGGAGAGTTGTGTCCCTTGGATACACCCCCACCCCCCACCCCCTACCCCCGCGAACACACCCACCCACAACCCATGCTTGTCATAAGAGTTCACTGTGACACACTTAATTGCGAGGAATCAAAACCCAATAGGATCCGTTGCTACAAAATATTGAGTGCTGCGATATACTCAAACAAGGAAAGAAACATTAATGTTTGACATAAGACATCTGTACCCAAGCTGATTGTTAGAAGTAATACAATTCAAATAATGAATTGTGCAACTTTTATCTCAATTGTCTGCATATGCTGGTTAAATGATCAAAGAAGGGCCTCCTTGAGATCCTTGTTTCCTGCAGCGGAGTACACAGCAGGGTGGCCCTCTGCCTCCTATCTTATTACTGTTGTTTGCAGAGTTTTGAGTGCCGGGGTTTAAAAAGCAATACGGGGAAACGGTGAACTTTTTACAAATGGATTACGCGACTATCTTTTCAAAACACGGCAATTAGAACCGATTGATATATTTGTTTGAATGCTTTGATCCTAATGGGAGTCTCTGAAGACGTGTATACTGCATTGTAGTGTTGACAGAACGACTGACTTAGCTTACGAATGTACCAACTCCCCAAAATTGACATGAATGAACAGGAGTGTTTTTTTTATTTCGCTGACCAGGAATAAGTAAAATGTGAAATATTTTTTTGTGATATTGAGTTTTGAAAAAAAATTATTGTCACAATGAACCATGTTATAACACCCCCAATCTTAAAGTACAACAAGCTGTGGTTTCTTTCTTGGTTTCTTTGTTGCTTACTGCCGCACTCAGCGATATTCCAGCTATATGACGGCGGTCTGTAAATAATTGAGTCTAGACCAGACAATCCAGTGATTGATATCATGAGCATTGATCCACGCATTTGGGATACGATGACATTCATCAACAAGCTTTGGTTACTAGGGGACTATTCTAACATGGTCTTGCTACGGGTTAATTCAAGTCTTGCAGTTGTGGATCTTGGTTTGTGTGTTGTGTCTTATGAAGGACATAAACTTCGATTTTCCCTGGTGGAAGTAGGATTAATTAAACCTTTTTTTAGTCTCCTTTTTATGTTGGATTGATGGATCTCATGAAAATCTCATCTTTTACTCTGATACGATACTTCTCTGCGTGAAGATTAGAGGACACCTTTGTGGGTTAATTAAACCATTTTTTAGTCTCCTTTTTATGTTGGATTGATGGATCTCATGAAAATCTCATCTTTTACTCTGATACGATACTTCTCTGCGTGAAGATTAGAGGACACCTTTGTGGGTTATGGCGGGTGACTTTTTAGTCAGCATCGAAACTTTGAACCCTTCACTCCCACCATTTCCCTTGCACTGTAGCTAGTCTTCATCATATCACTACTGGAACCGTGAAGATCCAGGGTAGAATGGGACTTCAGCAACCCATGCTTGTCTCCCCCCGTGAAAATCCAGGGTAGAATAGGACTTCAGCAACCCATGCTTGTCTCCCCCTGTGAAAATCCAGGGTAGAATGGGACTTCAGCAACCCATGCTTGTCTCCCCCCGTGAAAATCCAGGGTAGAATAGGACTTCAGCAACCCATGCTTGTCTCCCCCTGTGAAGATCCAGGGTAGAATAGGACTTCAGCAACCTATGCTTGTCTCCCCCCGTGAAGATCCAGGGTAGAATAGGTCTTCAGCAACCCATGCTTGTCTCCCCCCGTGAAGATCCAGGGTAGAATAGGTCTTCAGCAACCCATGCTTGTCTCCCCCCGTGAAGATCCAGGGTAGAATAGGTCTTCAGCAACCCATGCTTGTCTCCCCCCGTGAAGATCCAGGGTAGAATAGGTCTTCAGCAACCCATGCTTGTCTCCCCCCCATGAAGATCCAGGGTAGAAAAGCACTTCAGCAACCCATGCTTGCCGTAAAAGGCGACTATGCTTGTTGTAAGAGGTTTGGGTGGTCAGGCTTCCTTACCTTGTTGATGCATATCATTATATCCCAATTGCGTGGATCAATGCTCGTGATGTCAATCACTGGATTGTCTGGTCAAGACCGTCATCATATAGCTGGAATATTGCTGAGTGTGGTGTTAAACAACAAACAAATAAACAAAATCCGATCACTAACATCTACTCAACTAGACTGATACACATGATACGATTCTAATTAAAGGACGCTGGTTTTTAAATGACTTGAGTGCCAATTGTTCAAAGCCAAACCCCCTTTAATATCCCTGTCTTCAGACATGGTCGAAAATCTGGGGACAAAATAAGGGATTATCTGGGCTGCTTGTTTAGTGTAAGGGTAATCCGGGGTCCAAACTCCCTGAAATGTTTATGTTCCAGGCTTGCCTATGTAAATAACAGCATACTTGTTAGCCCAGATACACAGCGGACAGAAGCCGATCTTAAGGACTCGCAAGAGTCAGAACTGGGTTGCCGTGATACAGGATTTCCTCATCACCTCTATTAAGCTTTTTCAGTCTTTTTTTTAAAAACAAATGGTAAAGGGTGTCCTTAATTGTTAGAAATGTGCCGGACTTGTTTGACATTGCTGCTTAAACTGACAACTCCCATCAAATGTGTAAGTAATGTTGATATGCTAGTTGACAGTTTGGGGGTAAGAAATTAGGTTTTAATGGTATTGTTTTAACCCGAGATATCTGTTTGTGTCAGTGTTTTGTAAATAGAGGGTGTGAGGTAGGTTTTTGCTGTAGCTGTTCACATGCAAAGAAATTCATGAAAACTAAGATAATAATCTTTACATACCGTATTTGACGTAATAAGCGCCCAGGGCGCTCTCAAAATTAGAAATAGGGGGCCCTTATTAGAATATAATTTTGGTGAGATTAAAAACGAGGTTGAAAGATTGTAAATTTTGTGATTTATGCTGACAGCCTGAAATGATATGAAAGAAGAATCTGTGTGTATTATACACGACAGATATATTTTCGAGAATTAAATTGTCCATAATTAAGGGTACATATAACAAACGAGTGCATATTATACACGAATAAAAAAGTCTTGTGTACATTGATCAATCGGAAAGGGTGCTAACTGGGATTGTTCACTAGCCATTACATTAGCAAATAAAGCCGTGGGCGTTTATTAGAGGGGGGCACTTATTACGTCGAATACGGTTTTTGACATTAAGGAAAAGTAAACTGTTCTGATCTAATTTTGGCTTTCATGATTAACTCACTGTTTGTGAGATTATGACAACTTTGTGATGATTGGCAATGTGTTTGGTTTGTTTGTTTGTTTGTTTGTTTGTTGTTTAACACTGCACTCAGCAATATTCCGGCTATATTACGGCGGTCTGTAAATAATCGAGTCCAGCCCTGACAGTCCAGTGATTGACATCATGAACATCGATCTACACAGTTGGGATACGATGACATGCATCAACCAAGTCATCAAGCCTTATCAGCCAATCCTGTTAGTCGCCTCTTACGACAAGCATGGGTTGCTGAGAATCAGTTCTAGCTTCGATCTTCATGGGGGTAGTTCCCTCGTATGATAAGCATGGGTTGCTGAAGACCAATTCTAACCCAGATCTTCACAGGTTGGCTTTTATAGTATCAAGTTTAGATAAATTACACACATTTCACAACAGGGGTAGGCTGGGTAGCCTTGTGGTTAAAGTGTTCGCTTGTCAGGCCGAAGACTCGGGTTCGATTCTGTCATGAGTTCAAAGTGTGAAGCCCATTTCTGGTGTCCACCGCCGTGATATTGCTGGATTTTTGCTAAAAGTGGCGGAAAACCAAACTCACTTACCCATTTCACAACAGAAAATACCAGCTTATGTAACTATTTTTGAGTTCAACAGTGTAGGTTATTGAGTGCGTTATTCCCATGGACTGCCCAAGGCTTTCTGGTTTTATTCTGTTGTTTTTCACCAAAATGATATTCTAATAAGAGACGCCTACTTCTAACTTTGAGAGCGCCTTGGGCGCTTATTATGTCGAATGTACATGAGTGTTGACTGTGTCTATGTGTACCATAGTGTATGTAAAGATGCTTCGGGCATGGGTCATTGAGGCTGCATCTCCGCAGCCTGTTCTTCATCTTCAGGGATGGGTAAGTTATTGTTGTAGTCCTAGGATTGTCATCAACTCAAAGCGTTCAGTTTGTTCACTTAAAATGAGTTTGCATTCATTGCTTTTTAAGAATGTTTGATTGTGATTATGGTGGAGTCATGTCGTCTAGAGATTCATTTACTCAAGGAAAGACTGTCTCCTGGCCTCGTGGATAGAGCATCTGCCCAGAGAAGTAAAGGTCAGGGTTTGATCCCCAGCCCCGTCATACCAGAAGACGTCAAAAGATGGTACTTGTTGTTACCCTGCCTGGGTAGTAGAATATAAAACGAGGACTGGTTGACTCGTGGTATATACTGTGTCTGAGTGGGGTTTTATATACTGTGTCTGAGTGGGGTTTATATACTGTGTCTGAGTGGCATTTATATACTGTGTCTGAGTGGGGTTTTAAATACTGTGTCTGAGTGGGGGTTTAT